CCCCATCTCAGGTCCCACCCCCACCAGCCCCCCAACCTCCAGCCCCCCACCAGGCCCCCAGCCCCATCTCTGCCCCCCCCATCTCCCGCCCCCCCTCACCCAGCAGCCCTGGAAGCAGCAGCAGCCAGAACCCAATCCCCGCCCTCTCTGCCCGACCTCCCACTCTGATTGGCCCTGGCGTCCGTCCGTCAGGGATAACTTCCCACGGCCGCATCCCCGCCCACCTCCTTTTCCTTTTTGCCATCGCCATGGCAACGCTGAAAGGGCCCGGAGCGAAGGAGGGGGGGGGCGGGGGGGAGAGTGAAGATGGGTCGGTCCCTTCTCAGGGGGGCCAGGACCCTTCGCACGGGGGTCACGTCCCTTGGCACAGCGCTGGGGCCTTTCGCACGAGGGCCAGGGCCCTTCGCACGGGGGTCACATCTCTTGGCACAGCGCTGGGGCCTTTCGCACGAGGGCCAGGGCCCTTTGCACGGGGGTCACATCTCTTGGCACAGCGCTGGGTCCCTTCGCACGAGGGCCAGGGCCCTTCGCACGGGGGTCACATCTCTTGGCACAGCGCTGGGTCCCTTCGCACGAGGCCAGGACCCTTCGCACGGGGGTCACGTCCCTTGGCACAGCGCTGGGGCCTTTCGCACGAGGGCCAGGGCCCTTCGCACGGGGGTCACATCTCTTGGCACAGTGCTGGGGCCTTTCACATGGGGGCCAGGACCCTTTGCACGGGGGTCACATCTCTTGGCACAGCGCTGGGGCCTTTCGCACGAGGGCCAGGGCCCTTCACACAGGGGTCACATCTCTTGGCACAGCGCTGGGGCCTTTCGCACGAGGGCCAGGGCCCTTCGCACGGGGGTCACATCTCTTGGCACAGCACTGGGTCCCTTCGCACGAGGCCAGGACCCTTCGCACGGGGGTAACGTCTCTTGGCACAGCACTGGGTCCCTTCTCAGGAGGGCCAGGACCCTTCGCATGGGGCTCACATCCCTTGGCACAGCGCTGGATCCTTTTGCATGGTGGCCAGGACCCTTCGCACGGGGGTCACGTCTCTTGGCACAGCGCAGGGGCCTTTCGCACGTGGGCCAGGACCCTTCGCACGGGGCTCACATCCTTTGGCACAGTGCTGGATCCTTTCGCACGGGGGCCAGGATCCTTCGCACGGGGGTCACATCTCTTGGCACAGCACTGGGTCCCTTCGCACGAGGCCAGGGCCCTTCGCACGGGGGTAACGTCTCTTGGCACAGCACTGGGGCCTTTCGCACGAGGGCCAGGACCCTTCACATGGGGGTCACGTCTCTTGGCACAGCGCTGGGTCCCTTCGCACGAGGCCAGGGCCCTTCGCACGGGGGTCACGTCTCTTGGCACAGCGCTGGATGCTTTCGCATGGGGGGGGCAGGGCCCTTCGCACGGGGGTAACGTCTCTTGGCACAGTGCTGGGGCCTTTTGCATGGGGGCCCCGGTCCCTTAGCCCGGGGACCAGGTTGTGCCCCCTACAGGTGTCACCCTTTCTCTTGGGGCCTCCTCGCAATGGGGCGCTACCCCGCCCAGTCTGATTGCGGGGATTGAGCCCTGGCTGGGGGAGAAGGCTGGAAATCTGGTGGGACATGGGGGGGGGGGCTGGGGGTGAACCCACCCCTTGGGGCTGTACGTGGGGCTATCGCCAGCAGCTCCCATATGGTCTAGCGGTTAGGATTCCTGGTTTTCCCCCACGCGGCCCGGGTTCGACTCCCGGTATGGGAACAGCACGTTTTTTTTTTCCCCTCCTCCCCCGTTGCAGGCAGGAGCTCAGAGCTCCGGATTAACGCGGGGCAGAGGCTGATCCTCGGGCAGGCCCGCGGGGTCGGGGCACGGCGGCTTTGGGGTGTCGGGGGGAGGCAGAGACTCCCGCGGACACGAGCAGAGAGTTCTGGGGCTGCCCCATGGCGCGTGTGGGGGTCGCTCCCCAGATCCCCCGCTAGGTGGCGCTGCAGCGCCCCACGGCCGCTCCCCAGGCCAGCTGCGACAAAGACAGCAGCAGCTCAGTCCCACATGGTCTAGCGGTTAGGATTCCTGGTTTTCACCCAGGCGGCCCGGGTTCGACTCCCGGTGTGGGAAGGAGAAAGATCTTTTGCTCGGAGGGGAGAAAAGAGAACCCCGACTCCCCTGCCAGAGAACCCAGGAGTCCTGGCTCCCCCTCTAACCACTAGATCCCACTCCCCTCCTCGAGTCCAGGGAGAGAACCCAGGAGTCCTGGCTCCCCCTCTAACCACTAGATCCCACTCCCCTCCCACCGAGCTGTCAAGTGCTCATTTGAAAGAAAAAAAATCACGTGCATTGATTCAGGAAGCCGGATCAGCGCCAAATCCCGGCCTTAGGCAGTTCCCCCACCTTGGGGCAGATGTTCTGCCCCCCCCCCGAGCCAGCTGATCCCAAAAAACTTTTTGTATCTTGCTTCTAGATTTTTCCTGTGGCGAAATGTCTCTATTTCTCCCTGTTGGCCAGATATTTAGCAGGAGAGTCGGTAAAGGAATCTTAATGCCCTAGCCAGAGCAGCGGATATAAAACCACAGGAGGCCACTGGCCTGTTGGACGCATTTTAGACCCCACAGCAGCCTCGGAAAGGGAACCAGGACAACAGTCTTGTCTTCACGGCCTCTTGTAAATTACTGGGTGTTTCCCTACCCCAGAAGTGGCTGCATCTCTGTACCAGGCGAGCTGTCCCCATGCGATGTTTTGCTCAGCTGTTCCCCAGCTGCCACGCCCCAGAGCTGGCTGCATCTCAGCACCAGGCGAGCCATCCCTTTTGTCCACAAGCGCAAGGACAACCTGTGTGCTCACGTCTGACCTTGAGCTCCTGGGGAGTGACGGATGGGCTTGTTTGGAAGCCAAGATGCTTCGTCAGGTGCAATTAGCCGCAGAGCGTGAGGCTGTCCCTGCCAGACTCCGACGGGTCTGACCTACTTAACCTCCTGAAGGCTGACGCAGAGACAGCAAGCCCTGTCCAGATTCCCGACAGGCCCCGAGCCAAGCATGCCTGGAATAATCCCGTCCCCCATGGCCAACTTTCCACAGCTTGCCAGCCTCGTGCCCTGCCGCAGTGCGGCTAGTCCCCTGCTGCTCCACCCCAGAGGTGGCTGCATCTCAGTGCCGGACGGGGATAGCGCGCCTGGTGCTAAGCTACCACCTCCTCTGTAAGGGGTATGGGGTTAGAGCAGGGGGCTAGGAGTCGAGACTTGTGGGTTCTCCCCCAGCTCTCGGAAGGGAGTGGGTTAGAATGGGGGAGGGCTGGGAATCAGGACTCCTGGTTCTCTCCTCAAATGCAACCAGTGCAGCATTGTTAGTGAGCCCTGCATGACTGACAGGCCCGTGCTTGAGTGAACAGCGCCTGTTGGGAAGTTACTAGCCACTTTTGAAAATGTATTAGCCCTTTAAAATTGAAAATGTACTCAACTCTTGAAAAATATGTTAGCCACTTTTGAAAGTGCATTAGTCACCTTTGAGAATTGACTAATCATTTAAAAAAAAGATTACTAGCCATTTTTGAAAACTCTCTTGTCATTTAAAATATCTACTAAGTCATTTTTGAAAATGTACTAGCCACCTTTGAAAAACTGACCAGCCATTTTCAAAAACTGACTAGCACCACGTTTTAAAATTTACTAGTCATTAAACAAAAATACTATCCACTTTTGAAAATGTGCTAGTCATGTTAAAATATCCACTAATCATTGTTTAAAATAAAATATTATCTTGAAAAATATGCTATTTTTGAAAATGTACTAACCATTTAAAAAAATGACTAGCCTCTTTTGAAAAGGCACTACTAATTTCTAGGACATTTGCTAGCAACTTTTGGGAAAAAATACTAGCTACTTTTGAAATATTTGCTAGTCAATTCTGCACATTTACTAATCACTTTTGAAACTTTAGGCTGTGGTGACTATACGCTCTCCAGGGCAGGAGACTGGGTTTGTTTGCCTTCAAGATTTACAAAAGCGTCTAGTGATTTTTGAGGGCCTGGATTATTTTAGTTGCCCATTGTATAATGCCTTAAAGAGTGCCTGGTTTTCAGAAAGCCCTTAAAATCAGGACCATAGAAGGGGCTTGAAGTCACTACTCACCTTTGAAAAAAATTACTAGCCACTTTTGGAAACTTACTAGCCATATTTGAAAACTGGCGCCCTCTCACAACCTGGTATCCCCTCCTCCCCGGATCAGACCCATGAGCCCATCTTAGCCCAGTATCCCATCTCCAAGCTCTGCAGCGAGGGGATCACTTGCACGGCCCTCCCCATAACCCCGGCTTTTTCCCAGCCCTGGTTATCTATTGTGATGCTGGATGTGTATAAAGGTGGCACCAGGGGTGCCAACCTGATGCCAGCTACAGCAACGGGACAGCAATTAACAGATGCCTGCTCTGGCCAGCCCGCAGAGCATGGCCATATGGTCCGGGGGCCACGACATCACTGGCTCCGGGACGCAGCTAGAGGGGGAAAGAGTTCTAGAGCTTGATGAGAAGGGCCAGGAGAGCAGGTTCTGGGAGACAGCTCGGGATTCCTGGGTTCATTCCCTGCTCTGGTATGGATTCTATAGGGCAAGTCATTGGATTGCAATAGCACATACAGGCCACATCTGAGATCAAGGCCCCGTCGCGCCGGGCGCTGCCCAGACCCCGACCGAGATCAGGGCCCCGTTGCGGCGGGCGCTGCCCAGACCTGGACCGAGACCAGGGCCCCATCGTGCCGGGCACTGCCCAGACCTGGACCG